GCTTCCGCCCAGCTTCTCTTCGGATAGCACAGGGATCCAACTGATGGTAGTTGTTTGTCTTCGCCATATTGTGCCCAACTCGTTACCATAGGCCTTCCCATGCCATTCCTGGCTATTAGCCTCCATTTTCTGAAGAAAGGAATGTCCACACAAAGATTAAAGTTTATGCACTTTACTGTTGATGTTCAAAGATGGCAGTGACAAATCACGTAACATCACACAGACATACTATCCAGGGTCATTTGGCATTCTTTGACAATCACATACCTATAGTGGACATACTGTAGCAGTCATTTTGTGAAAGGGACACACTGCATGTCACTGCTACGCCATCTTGCTTTAGCAACTCTCTCTCTTCCCCAGGTTCATTACTACTCACTCAGAGGCCTTTGACTTGCCCATTAAGCTTATTGCATCCATCTCACAACTCCCTTCATGTCGTTTCCAGAGACAGGACTGCTGCAGCTACTCCTCTAGTGTCTGTACAATTTGCCCAGAATCTCCAGATGGATTAGCACTCACACAGAGAACACTTAGTCTTGCCTAAAATGTCTTTTTCATCTTGCTCCCAGTCTAGTTAGGCCATGTTCCCAGTATACTTAGATCATGTTTAGTGAGACAGGATGACTACAGCTGGCTTTTTTGAGTGTAGACTGGTCTCTCCTGACCTTCTGCCCTGTCCAGGGCCTCTGCATTAGCTGCCTACATCTGCATGATGGTGGAGTATTTGGTTGTCATACCCCGACTGCCCTGGGCTCTTCCCAACCTGGTATATATAAATGGGCACTAACGCCACACATCCCTATTACCACACTATTCTGGGACAGAGCCAGTTATAGGCAGGCTAGCTAGCTGCACGTGCTTACAACCAGTATTGCCTGTGGTCTCTCTGAAGTTAATATTTTCCCATTACTCACTACTTACTTACTTTTTCTGCACTGTGTCTATGTGTGGAGTCAACCATATTCGTAGAAGCAAGGTTTTGCTTTATGTCAGCAAGGAGGACGATGAGCAGCAAAGCAGTGACCTCACCAAATCTCACTCAAAATCTCCTGAGAGTACCAGTAAGGGACAATTGCCACCTCATTACTTAAAAACTGAACACATATTAATTACACAGGTTCTGGGACTAATTTAATGCACATAAGGCATTAAGTGAGTTTAATTACCACCTTAATCAGCCATAGAACCTGTACAATTAATATGTGTTCGGTTTTAAAAGGATGAGGTGGCAACCCTACTGGATAACCATCTTTAAGTTTGGCACATTCGGATTGGGTTTCTTTACATTGCCACTGAAAGGTATGTATGGTTAAAGGATGAGTTCACCTTTGAAACATGTTACATGTTCCACCTGTTTTTAGGATGGAACATGTAACATGTTCTCATAACTGGGATGAGGTGGCAACCCTAGACAGCAGAGCCTTAGATTTCACACTTTATATATACAGCTTTATATATGAGACTGTAGGCACAGGTGTGTTGAAGCACATTACACTCTACCAGGAAGTGCACTGCTGTTTTTAAGAGGCATTCAAAAGGTACAAGGAAAGGCAGTTAGGCTTTCATTGCATGACTATTGAAACATGCTGTTGTAGGTTTTGGACTACAGGAAAATGGCTGACCTCTGGAAGTGTACTGTGGTCTATTGGAAAATGGCTGCGTGACTTCGGCAAAATGGTGATGATGCACTTTTCTATAGAGACATCTGGAATCAGTGTGTTTGCTTAAAAGAAGATGGCTGCACTGTACATAAATCTATCTTCCATGTCAAATCCAAAACCACAGCTGCTTGCGGTGCTCACAGGGATGGTGGAAATGTTGGAAGTTCTGGGACCCCTGTGGGTATAAGACGGAAGTGATGTCAGCCTGGGTTCGGACCGCCTATACATCTCCTCCAGCCCCGTGAGCACTGCAAGCAGCCATGTATTTGCATTTGACATGTAAGATATATTATGTACTTTTAACATGTGAGTTGTTATAACTTTAATAAACTGTTTGTCCATTGCTGCACTTCTTAGATGTTGCTTCCCTGTCTTTCTATACTGGGATCACACAGGAGTGCTGTGGAAAACTGCTTGCAATTTGGACAGGAATCGCACCACATTCCTCTTCAAATGGTATGCTATTCTTTGTGGTGCTATTTGAGCCCATCCATTTTGCATAGGTTAAAATCGCGCCAATCGCGTTGTACTCAACGATAAAAAAAAGGGTATCAGTGCAACTCTAACACATACAGTATATATATATATATATATATCATGATAGATTTGCTTTGAATCTAGGAGCCAGTTTTTTTTTTAGCGTAGCATAGGTTGTCAGTGCCTGGGACTTCACGCAATGCGTTTTACCACATGACAATCATGCCAAAAACCACGCCATGTTTTAGGCACCATTGAAAATAATGACACTTGAACCTGCATTTTGCGATCACAGCGATTCTTCTGCAATCCCAAAATGCAGAGGTGTGAATGGAGCCACCCTGGTTCACATATATGCAATTCTGGATTTGTTTTGAAACTTACAGATACTCATGACAGGCTAGATATTTTATGTTCCTATTGAGGTGGTTCACACAGATGAGATCCACGCACATTGTGTTTTGAGTTGCATTATGAAAAGGGTCCTGTGCGAGTTTGTAAAAGTGCGTTCCAGGCTCTCAAGTGATAAACTAGAGTGGCATGTGGAGATAAGTGTTCACATAGGATTGCTATTGAGTGGAGTTTTTGCATTGAAGTCACTAGGAGGCATTTTCACATGGAAGTCTATGGGACTTTTTCCCATTGAAGTCTATGGGACTTTTCCCATTGAAGTCTATGGGTTTTTTTCCCATTGAAGTCTATGAGACTTTTTCCCATTGAAGTCTATGAGACTTTTTCCCATTGAAGTCTATGGGACTTTTTCCCATTGAAGTCTATGGGACTTTTTCCCATTGAAGTCTATGGAACTTTTTCCCATTGAAATCTATGGGAGACTTTTTTCCATTGAAATCTATGGGAGACTTTATCCCATTGAAATCTATGGGTGGCATTTTCCCATTGAAGTCTACAGGAGAAGTTTTCCCATTGACGTCTATGGGGCGCGATTTCCCATTGACGTCTATGGGGCGCGATTTCCCATTGACGTCTATGGGGCGCGATTTCCCATTGATGTCTATGGGGCGCGATTTCCCATTGATGTCTATGGGGAGCGATTTTCCATTGAAGTCTATGGGGCACAATTTCCCATTGAAGTCAGTGTGACGTAAAGCAGTGTGTGAACCAAAGCACCAGGAGGCAATTTCTAGTCACCATGACGACCTGGCGCCTGGGATTTGTCGAGCCCTGTATGTGTATATATGTGGGAACTGTTGCAATCAGCACTCTTTGTCCCATGAGGATGCGCTAGAGCGTGAAATGCGTTGGGTGTAATGTTAACATTACGTCTCCACATAGACTCTGTGTGGTGGCCACATGTAAGTGACTTTTTGTTTGTTTTCAACTTATGTTTTGTACTGCATGTGGAGATTTTCAAATAAATACTGCACTGTGGAAGTTATATTTGGCTCCATTTTGTGAGCATCTATCTCATACAATCACACTCATTGTCATCTGAGCGATTAGATAAAGTGTTGTTTATGTGCTGCTTATAACTTTTAGCAGCCACATGTTACGGTGAGAGCGAAGTGCTGCTAGTGGTTTTGGCAGAGTGGATTTTACTGTGTAATTCACACATCTTGAATGAAGTTAAGAAGGAATTTATGCACCATATGTTCAAGAATTGGTGGACTTATTATACACATTGATATGTGGACTATTGATTGGTCTCATATTTGTTTATAATTTTTTCACATTTACATTTTTTTCTTGTGAATTTAGTTCTATATAATATTTTTTATTTGGTCTTTTCATTGATTAAAGGCATATCATTTCTGGTGTTAAAATTTGTTTAGCGCTGTACTGATATATCTTTACTTTATTTTTCAAGTTGCTGCCTAAACCCAATTAACATTTATAAATGCTTCATATTCTGTAGTATTGCCCCTTTTGCACCGGCTGTACATTCACGTGCTCAGAGACTTGCATGGGACTTCTGATCAGGATCACCTGAAAAACTGACAGACAGACCTTATCGGAAGCGCCATGCAAGTCTATGGGCAGGAGGATGCAAAGGGACAAGCGTCCTAATCTGTCCAGGTTTGGAAAAAATGGAAAAGGATTGAGTCCTTTTCCATTTTTCATACCTAACTTAGACAGATTAGAGGTAGTTTGATATCTGTCCTGTTCAGGTTTGATTCAGCAGGGAATCTGTTCACGAATTTCACAGATCCTCTTTTGAACAGAGCGGACACGAATATGTGAAAAGACCCTTAATATTCACTTTTTGAGTTCAGGTACATTTTAAGTGCCAATAAATCAGGATGTTCTGCCCTGCAGCAATGGTATTAGTTGTTATTCTTGTAAGTATTATTTATTAATGAACTAATAGGAAAGGCAGCAAACATTACTTTCCACTAATGAATGATAAAACAGAAATCCTCAACCTTTGTCAGGACATGTTCCACTTTGAAATGTGACATGCGCAGAACCCCATTTAGAAATGTTTGTTTTCAGCATAATCGGGAAAGTCAGGACGCGTGTCTAGTACTTTGCCATCCATGTCATTGCTGGGGAGATTTCCGCTCACTCCTGTCAGGAAGGGAACTGATGGAATAGTTCTCCAAAGGAGATACAAAAAACATATTTTATCACACTGAAAAAAGAGATAATAACATTTGGCAGCGTTCTTGATGCTGTCTGTGCTTTCCTGTCCCTGTGACTCCTGAACATCCCATTCTTGTCACAGGGACAGGACATGAGGAAAATCTCGTGAATGTGGTCCCAAGAAGATATAAAGACCTGACCAAAGTTTTACGTCTTCTTCTAAAGTTACAAAAAATTTGCTTCTCCTCTTTTAACTATTGCAAAGCAGCATGGTGAATAGTTAAGAAATTATTGTTTTCTTTTCCTCTTTTTTTGTCAATAGATGCTCCTGTTTCTGAACTTCATGACTTATTCTGTAAGAAGTTGCAGCAATGTTCAGTTATCTTCCATTTTATGGACTGTGTGGCCGACCTGAAGGGAAAAGAAATCAAGAGGGCTGCACTGAATGAGCTGGTAGAATGTATTGCCACAAATAGAGGTGTCCTGATCGAGCCTGTTTACCCAGAGGTTATCAAAATGGTAAGTAAAAATAGTTGAGGGGGAATTCAAATAGCACTCTATCCAGACAAGCGACACAGAGAACTATTTTTACTATTTTTATTTTTGTTACTGGTATATGCACAAAGCAATACAGAGAACACCTGCTAGTCTTCCAATGTATAGTAGGCTGCAGCAAAACACTCTTTATTGCTTGCATGTTTTAGATGTGACTGTTTCAGAGTGAACTTGTCTGATATATATGTATAAAGGGAAGCTCAAGTGCAATGCATTCTCACCCTGTAATATACTATATACAGTATATACATAAAAGACAATAGGTGATCCCTGCACATGCTAGATTGATAAATGCCTAGGTGCAGGATATTGTATACAGTATATTTAAACTGAGGTCCAGGTTTGCTGTACTCCAATTTTATTTATAAAAAAGGAACAAAAAACATATAGAATGTTCCATTCCAGCAACAGTTTTGGGCAAAGTTACAGAACACCCTTCATCAGACACATCTTGTTCCCGCCTGATGAAAGGCATTCTGTAACTTTGTCCAAATCTGTTCCTGGAATGGAACAATCTGTGTTGTTTCTTTTTTTATAAATAAATTTGTAGTGCAGCAATCCTGGACTTTGATTATTCTATAAATGGCCTTAGGAGTGGCCTAAATGCATCGCACCTGCTGCTGAGACTGAAGTGTTGCTCACTTTGTTCATCCCATCCCAAATATACTGTATATACTGTGTGTGTGTATCTAAGTTTCACAAAGATGAAATATTTTGTTTTTCGGTTTAACTCATGGATGGCATTGTGTGTCAGGGCTCTTTTGATCACTGAAAACAATCTCAGACACCTGTGATAATTAGATTGGCCGGAGAGCCCAATTTAAGGAAAAACTACTAAAGGAGGGTGTTCCACATTATTAAGCAGAGCACCATTTTCAAGCAATATGTGGAAGAAAAAGGATCTCTCTGCTGCTGAAAAGAGTGAAATAGTTCAATGCCTTGGACGAGGTGTGAAAACATTAGATATTTCATGAAAACGTAAGCGTGATCATCGCACTATTAAGAGATTTGTGGCTGATTCAGAGCACAGACGGGTTCGTGCAGATAAAGGCACATTGAGGAAGATTTCTGCCAGATCCATGCATCGGATCAAGAGAGCAGCTTCTAAAATACCATTACATAGCAGCAAACAGATATTTGAAGCTCCTGGTGCCTCTGGAGTCCCACGGACATCAAGGTGTAGAGTCCTCCAGAGTCTTGCAACTGTGCATAAACCTTCTATTCGGCCACCAATAACCAATGCTCACAAGCAGAAACGGTTGCATTGGGCAGAAATATACATGAAGACTAATTTTCAAACAGTCCTGTTCACTGATGAGTGCCGTGCAACCCTGGATGGTCCAGATGGATAGAGTAGTGGATGGTTGGTGGACGGCCACCCTGTTCCAACAAGGCTGCGACATCAGCAAGGCGGTGGTAGAGTCATGTTTTGGGCCGGAATCATGGGAACAGAGCTGGTCGGTCCCTTTAGGGGCCCCGAAAATGTAAAGATGACCTCTGCAAAGTATGTGGAGTTTATGACTGACCACTTTCTTCCCTGGTACAGAAGGAAGAACTATGCTTTCCGTAATAAAATCATCTTCATGCATGACAATGCACCATCTCATGCTGCAAATAATACCTCTGCATCAATGGCTGTTATGGGGATAAAGGGAGAGAAAGTCATGGTGTGGCCTCCATCCTCCCCTGACCTCAATCCTATTGAGAACCTTTGGAGCATCCTCAAGCAAAAGATCTATGAGGGTGGGAGGCAGTTTACATCCAAACAGCAGCTCTGGGAGGCTATTCTGACATCTTGTAAACAAATTCAAGCAGAAACTGGAGCAGAAACTCCAAAAACTCACAAGTTCAATGGATGCAAGACTTGTGAAGCTGCTATCAAATAAGGGGTCCTATGTTAAAATGTAACGTGACCTGTTAAAATGTTTAAAAAGTTAAAATGTTGTTAAAAGTTTGATTGAAATAGCTTTTGATTTTAGTAAATATGCTGCAAACACAACAAATGACAATTTTCAGTTCTTTACAACCTATAAATTGTTTTGAAACTTACTGTGCGTAATAATTTGGAACAGTGCATTGGAAGTGTTTTATGTTTAACAAAAATACTGTTATCATTAGGAGGTTTGTTCAATAAAATGTGAATTGTACTCTTAATAGTTGATAACATGAGAATCATGCTGACTGTTATTTACATCAATTATTTAGGTAAATGAGAAAAAATATAATTTGCATAATAATTTGGAACACGGTGTGTGTATATATATATATATATATATATATATATATATATATATATATATATATATATATATAAAATGTGTGTTTTAAGTTAAGATTAAGGTCAAGGAACTTGCAGATATTTGAAAGAGCATAAATAACCCAAGGCTTTATTCTCCAACATTTTGGCTTGTCACAGTAAATAAAGACTTGGATTATTTATGCTCTTTCAAATACCTTTGAGTGCTCTGACCATAATGCTAACTTGAGAAATATATACAGTATTGTGTGTGTGTATGTATGTGTGTATATGTATATTTGGCCTTGGGAGTGTCTGCACTAGATTTGCTGATTTGGGAATCGAGCGGGTTATCAGGTTGATTGACACATCATATACCCCCTGATTGGTTCACTGAACACCAAATAAATGCAGACTGCTGCATCTGGGGACATTTGACACTGAACTCAAGCTAATTTCAGTTGCTCAGAGAGCAGATGAAATGATCTGGATGGCAGCCCGGTGCTTTGGAGAAAGCAGGGCACAAGCCTCAGGCAATGCTTGTGCTTCTGCATCTAGAATGTGTGATTAAAACCTTAATTCGAGGTGGTGGGTAAAAAAAATTCTCTATGTATCTGTATACGGAGAATATAAAATAGCTTCCGAGTTTGTCAAGGGAGTGCTGAAAATGTTTAGTTTCTTCTAAATCTTATTGTGTTATAATGACCTTGTTCATATTAAATATGACAAGCTAGATTGGGCTCAGTTTGGCTACCAGCTGGGCAAAGCGCCCAAATGACTTTCTATGACCAGACTATGTACACCACTGTAATCTAAAGGAACTTTCCCCTCAAATGCAGCAATCTTTTAGGCAAGGAGAAGACATAACACCTTTATACTTTGTACTGTTTTCAAAAAGATATGTCATTGTATTCCACTGCAAGTACATTTGTATAATAATAAATGAAAATTATACATCTAATTATTTGTCAGCACTTAGGCTGCATGCACATCTTCGAGTTCTCCTGCATATTTTGTTTTCAGCGTTTTTCACACATTTATGCGCATCACACATAGGGTAGCCATTTAACTTGAATGGGCTGCCCTATGCTCGACAAGTGCGCAAAGAAGCTTCAGAACCTTTTCTTCTTGGAGCATGGCACATTTTTTCACTGTTTTGGCACATTCGTAGTGCAAAATGCATGTCTGCTAACCATGCTTTGGGTGCCATTAACAATAAATGGCACCACAAGCATTGCACGTGTTTGTAGCACAGTTCCAAAACACGTGGCAAAGCGCATTTTTTCTGTGCACTTTGTTGCGCATATCGGAAACACTAAGTGTAAATACAGCCTTACATATTCAGTTCTTTCCTCTTTGTTTCAGCTATTTATTTGAATCATATACTGAGGGAGGTATAGTTGGTAGGCTGCCACTTCTAGCCTTTCCTTGAGCAAATGCTAACTTCTTGGCTGTCATGCTGATCCATTGGACTCAATATTTCTTAAATCCCTAAACTGGAATATGTATGTAAATAAGGAGTTATAAGTTATGAAAGAGTACCCTAGAAAGTTTTGACAATTGAAACAGCCAGAGGGTTAAACCTTTCAGAAGCTGGTTGGGAATGTTTCTCTCAGTACATTTACTTTAATATTTTAATACAAAATCTATGTCAGTGGGCAAATAGATGATGTAATTTTAATTTTTAATTGTGGCCTGTATGTGTTGTTTTATGTAGTAACATTTTTGCAAGTTTGTTCTTTAATCCAAGTTTCCTCTTTTTTCTTGTCTTAAGATCTCAGTGAATATTTTCCGCACACTACCACCCAGTGATAATCCGGAGTTTGACCCTGAAGAGGATGAGCCAAACTTTGAGCCCTCTTGGCCACATCTGCAGGTATAATATGTTGCTGGTGCTAGGCAATGCAATATTCCAGATATTAATATACATTCATATGAACACTTACATTTTAATACTTCTAATGCACCTAAGTATTGTATTTATTTATTTTTATATGAAAGACGTTTTGATCATAAGGAAGTATTTTTACTGTGACTGTGAATAGTTTTGATAGCTCATTATTAGCACATCCATCAACATGGTGCTTTGTGGGGAGAGTTTTCTAGTGTTCATGAAGTTTTGGGTGCTTGTACAGTAAGTGGGGAGAAGCTCAGAGTCAAATAGTGCACTTTTTTTGCACAGAATTAACCCTGAGCCTGGGTTCACACTGATGCGGTGCGGAATTTGCAGCAGTTTCTGTGCAAATTCGCATCACAATCGCGCCCCGATCATGCAAACCACTGCAGATGTGTATGTTAAGTTAACATCACCCCGAAATCGGTCCGCAACCTCGGTACATTGTGCACAATTGGATCGCATAGGTGTGAATACCCATGATCCGATTCTAGTTTTGACCAAAACAAGGGTCCTGCACCTTTTTGGTGCAGATGCGGTGCGATTTGAGCCATACAAAATGTATGGCTCAAATTGCACTGCACAGAATTCGCATTTGATTTGCACAGGCATGCGGTGCAGTATGCCGCACCGCACAAGTGTGAACCCAGGCTGAGTGTAACCAAAGTCTCTATACAAAGCTTTTATTTTGCCCCCAAGCTGAGATCAACAATCTGCTCTTGAATGAGGTCTTAACAGTGAATTAACAGTCTTTGGAGTTCCTTTTCTAGGCTGCTATATGTGTGCTCATACATCATCTGCTATAAAGCATCACCCCAACTTGTGTTGTCCAGGTCTCAGTTTGTCCTCCTGGCTGGGCAGCGTTTTACCAGTACCCTCCATCTCGAACATAAACTTGTACATGTTGTGCTGATCAGTGTCGGCTTCATAATGGCTTACCATCTCTGGTTACCCACCTCCTATGACTCAAGCTAAACATTGCCCTGGCTCCGCAATCCTTTCCCTCTTCATCTTAACCTAGATAAACTGTTTATGAGATGATTGCTGTTGCTGCAGCAGCAAATTTCTATTCAACTATCCTGCTCTGTTTTTAAGTCAATTTATTTCTTCCCAGAAGGTCTGATTGCAGACACTACCAATCACAAGATAGCATTGAGCAGTTACACCCCTTGGAGACTATTCATTTAATTCAATAGCAGGTCAGTTCTAAAGAATGTGGGGTTCAAAAGTAACTCCATAATGAGCTATACCGATATGTTGTTTAGGTTCTCTTAGTGTGCATTTAAGAAGCAATAGTATGGCTGTATCACAGCCATACTACTACACTACTTAAAAAAAAAAATCTGCACATTAACAAAGAACAGCAATATACGTTACAAATGTGCATTGCAATCTCCTGACTTTGACAGTCCGAAACTGGTGGAGTGCAGTAGAAAAAAAATTGGGAATCGCAAAACAAAAAATAAAATGCTTTACAAATTTGGAAGGAGAGACAGTCATGCGACCTGTCAGTCACCTAACTCATAACCCTCAGTTATGAGTTCTCTCTACTGCATTAAGCAGGGTGGACTCTAATGTACAGCATGAGCAGCTTCTGATACTGCAGCAGTGAATGTTCTATTCATCTATCCTGCTCTGTGTTTAAGTCAATATATTTCTTCACAAAGGTCTGACTACAGACCCAACCAATCAAAAGATAGCACTAAGCAGTTACACCCCTTGGAGTTTATCCAAATAATTCAAGAGCAGGAAGGATCATTAGAATACTTCAGTTCTAAAGAATGCCAGGTCCGAAAGTAGCTCCATAATGAGTACTGTGAAGGCATAGACAGTGCTTTGAGGCTTTTGATGTATGTGGTATTCTATCTAAAGTATTGGATGGTTGTATGTTCAGATATCTAAGCAATATCACTCATAGATATTTATAGTTTCCCCTGGCAAATATATCAACGTAAACTCCCTAAGGTTTTTTTGGCTCTGCTCCACTTCTTGTAACCCAAAGCCTGATGATAACAATGCACTCAAATGACTATATCTTGCCATACATGGTTTGAATCTTGGCCGGTTCAGCAGGGACTGGATGAGATTTGAACCATCTGTGGGCAGGCTAATTGTACCCAAATTGATTGTTGTATGACTTGGGTACAACCAGCCTGTTGGATTTATCATGTGATTATTGCCAGCTGCTATAGCTGCTAACAATAATCACTGTATTCTCCCGCCAGGGACAGCTTCCCGCACCTTGAGAGGGATTCCCACATCAACACTGATTGTGGTTGTGGGAAATAAAATCGCATCCTCTATGGCTGCCTTAAGAATCAGTTCTCCAATTCAAAATGTAAACACGTTATTCCAGATCCTTTAAAAAAGAAAGACATAAACAAGCACCTATATACATTGTAACAATTATAACTAGCAGTAATGTAATATGTACACATGCAGCATTTCTATGGCCCTCATATATCATTATTGAAATATAGAAAGAAAATTCATCCTCCTGACTATATTCTCACTGTGAGTCATGTTTTTTATTTGTTCTCAAATAGACTTTTGAAAATAAGAGCACAAACTTTGAATTTTATCATCATTTATGATAGATGTATTAAATGTATAATGTATCTGAAATTCTACACTAGGCATATGTGAAAACCATTATATGAATGTCATACTATCTACAAATCTATACATTGATTTGACATCTACACAAAAATGTTTTTTTTTTTGATGCGCTTGTACCATACAGGAAACCACAGCTCTAGTGCTCCATTCTTTTTACATGATTTGGTGTTTTGGCACAAATGAGGATTCTTGACAACTATAACTGCTCCCCCTGCATCTGCATATGATATTGATCTGGTTAAAATCCCTGCTAACACATTTAAAAGATATTTTGCATAAGGGGAAATTACACACATACCAAGAATTAAAGGGAAAAATGATTTATTTTTTACATTAGATGAGTGGCGGTATGGACAATTGGGACACTTTGTTTCATCGCTCCCTCAACCACTGAGGACCTCAGAGAATATGTACCCATTTGAAAAACTATCGAATGTCGATACAGTTCCAAAACAAACCACCTCCAGGATATATAAGATCCTGATAGATATGGAGGGAATTGATCTTCCTGGGTTCTTGGAAAAATGGGAAAAGGAGTTTGGAACAGAATTAAATGAGCAACAAAGGAATAAAATATTTAAATTAACACATGTGGTGACAAATATGAGCACAGTAGAAATGAATTACAAATGTTTGACAAGATGGTATATTACACTGAGTGTAGCACATAAACAACAAGTGGATGTTTCACCTTTATGTTGGAGAGGTTGTGGGAAAAAGGGTACAATGGCACATATGGTGGGATTGCCCGAAAATACAGGATTTTTGGAAGGAAATAATGCACTGTATCCAGGAAATCAGTGGGATTACTATACAAAAGTACCCATGGATGAGTTTATTGTACTCCGAGTCTGTAGGCAAACAGTATAAAAACAGGGTATTATATCATTTAATCAGTGAGGCTAAGGGCCTAATTCCCAAGTTTTGGCAAGCCTCAGAACCACCAAGAATAAATAATAGGTTAAATAGAGTGGATAATATTTTCAGGATGGAGGAGTTGTGTCATTTGGAGGGGGACAATATGGAAATATTTAGGAAAATGTGGAGTAGTTGGTTAGATTTAAAACATTTAAAAGATACTCATAACTGATAGGGAGCTTAGGGGGAAAAGTCTGGAGAGAGCATGATGGAGAACGTGAAAGCCAGAGAGGCTTGTGAGGGGAATGGGGACATAGATATACATAGATAATGTGTAAGAGGAGTAAGAATTTAGTTAACTTGATCTGGACAGGAGTATTTTGGAGGGGGGGTATAGCAGGAGGATGGGGGGGGGGGATAAGATGTTGTAAAAGAGACTTTTGTATTTGTGAATGTGATGGATTTTGGGTTGTTATATTTTTTATACTGGAAAATTTAAATAAAGATATAATAAAAAACCATTTTAAAAATCCCTGATAACTCTGTTTCTGGCAATGGGAACCAGAGCTAGACACGTCTTTATAAGCGTACATCTAGGTTAAACTTACTAAGAGTCTGCCGTTTGTAGGAAATAAACTTTCTACACCAGAACTGAAATTTTCTGTTTGGTTCTGCTTTTTTTGTAGAATAAATGGTTACTTGTTTTACAAAGGTACATAACTTTACAGAAAAACACTCCAAGGTACATGTTTCCTAAAAATCTGAAAATATATTCTATACAATCGGATTTCAATCACCAGGACACAACGAACATGCAATTATGGTCTATATTAGTCAAATAACACATGCTGGAATCTCTGAGCACCAGCCATGTAAAATCAGGAATTTTGGTTCTTCATTTACCAGAAACTGTTTTGGTGGTAATAGTGGAAAGTTTAAACCAGAACAGTCTGCTTATTCAGGGTTTTGATTTCATATAGTGGGTCTTAATACATGCTAGGAACTAAATGCTGCAAATATACTTCCTTAAGGAAGGAATATTGAAGAAAGAAATATTGGAATATTTCTTCCTTTATATTTATATCAATATTCCTTCCTTTTAAGGAAGAAATATTGAAGAGAAAATGCCATTTTGTGGCCAAATCAAAAGAGACTTGGCTGTAGAGGAGCTATTCAAGATTGTGGATGAGAGCAAGGTAAAGAAAGGAAAGGAAGAAGGGGAACATTAACCTGGAAAAAGACAAGGGCAAGTGAAAAGTGGTGCTGTAAGAAAAGTTCCATGTTTGAAATTCACCCAAGACCATGTAAAGCTTTTCAAGCGTTCTAGAAAAAGTCACAGTGACATGTGTTGGGACATGCCATGACATTATCATGGGTTCTTTTGTTCTCCTGGTCCTTTTCTTAATTAAAAGTTGCTATAATTGCTCAAGCACCCCTATCAGTGTCATGGTCTTTACTCAGTTTCACTTTAATGTACAGTAAATGTGAAGATAAACATTACCTAAGACTTGATTTTAAGAAAGTCACATACTGAGGTATTAACCATATATTCGTATCAAATTATTTTTTTGCCAGTGCTCCTTTAAGTGTATGATGTTATGTACCTGGAATAATTTAACTATGTATATACAGTAATTACATGATTTCTTAGTGCAGTGGTCTTGTGCTTGTAATATGATTGAAGATGTCAAACATTTTGCAGTCTGATGTTGTGTGTGCTTTTTTTCTTTGTGATATTATATGCCAGAGTCTAATAAAATTTGGAACACGTGCAGGCAGAAGTTGCCATGGTTACTTCTTGCATGTGTCCTTAATAATAGCTGTATCACATACATGAGTAAAATCCTTCCTAATATTTTTTTTTTTGTCTAAAACAGCATTACTAGTATAAACACATTTTTAGACTTCCATTCAAGCTCCTCCAAAGTATTCGTATAGCTTAACTGATAAGTAAAGGAATAATCAAGATGCCAAATGATGTGTTAAAGCATATATGTTAAGTGTTGTGTGTTAATGTCAATACCATCTTTCAGGTAAAAACTTTATTATTTGTTGTGAGGAAAAGGGGGAATTTTCAGGATGCCAAAAACAAAACTAAAAAAAAATGTGATAAAAATATCCAGTACTGTATTTTATTACAAAACATTAAAACAAACACTCTCACAGTATTGAAAACCCACCACACCACCAAAAATGTAATGCAGCTTAGAAGTCTGTGCAATATAATTCAGCTCTGCATGTTTTGCCACAATTCTGGCTTCATCAGGAGACTTATGAATACTCAGCACTTGCAGCTACTGACTCTGGAGATGGTATGTTAAGGCTGATTCCCACTGATCACATTGGAGCAGAAGTGGGTGCTTATTTCTTATTTGTGGGCATGGATCCATTCTCTGAATGAGGTCTGCTATGTTGATGTTTATTCAGTGGATATACTAATTTCAATCCATCTACTGGGGGTGCCCTTATTTGCATTCATTTTGGGGTCACACTATATATAGGGGGAGGTTTTTCCCCTGCTATGGCCACAAACATCTAATCTGGGGTGGGACCCCTGGTGCAGAATCCTATTAATTTGGTTATTTTGATATCAATTCATTTCTTTTACCATTCAGCATGTTTGTTTACCCTGGTGGCATCTTCTGCAGTATTCATAAGTTTCCTGAAAAGCAAGAAACATATAGAGCTGAATTGTACTGCACAGACTTCTAAGCGGCATGAACATTTTGTGGTGGCTTTAAGTTCAATGCTGTGTTGTTTTAATGTTTTTTAATAAAATACTGGAAATTTGTATCAAATAATATTTTTTTCAGATGTGTTTTTGGCACCCTGAAAATCCACCCTTTTCCTTACAACAAATATGTATTTTCAATGGGACGTGGTGCCTTTGATCCCCTGATACTTAGGAATTTCTTGCACTATAAATTTTATTAGATAGCCATGACATGTGATGAAGCTATATCGAAATGTTGTTTAGGTTCTCTTATGGAACATTTAAAAAGTAAGGGTGTGTCCATACCACAGCGAAACCACTGCTTATGAAAAAAAACGCAATGTGCTTTTACAAATGTGCATTATGTTCCCCAGCTTTGAAAGTCCAAAACTGGTGGAGTGCAAAAAAACAAATAAAAAATGTAAAAGCTGGGAGGAGAGATTAGTCATGAGATCTATCAGAGCCATATTACTTGGAGGGTTTTCATATGTATTCTTGTTGTAAGTTGTCTACTGATGTGGGAAAACCAGTCATGACTGTATGACCCCCTATGGTTCCTTATGGCTTAGGTTCCATTCACACTTGTAATATAGGCCATTAACCGATTCCCTTGGCTGGAATTACAGATGCTTGTAGTCTTCTGCGGCCAGCACGCCTATACAAAGCAATGACAGGGTGACAGGACCATGGCTGTCCTCCACTCTTTGTATGTATCCATGAAACCAGTGGTCACCTGTGGTTAGAGACACATGATCAGCCCTGGATACAACCTGTCTGCTTCCAGGGCCTGTCATCTGTGACTAGCAGCAAGTCATAGTGTAAACGTATTTGATACCAATACAGATAACATGCATTTTTATATCTGTCAGGTAGCTGTCGGGTTTTTAATTTTTTTTAATTAAATAACCCTGTCAGAGAAAAAGGAGGCTGTATTCATGGCCTCTGTCTTAAAATTCCACTTGCTTACGTATTATGCTGAGTATGAGGGTCAGAAACCTAAAAAGAACAGGCCTTATCTGAATGGTTGTTCTGTGTTAGTGACCCAAAGTACAAGTGTATTTACATAACAGCCAGTGAACTAGCATTCTCTGAAGCAGAGGTTAGCAATGGAAGCTTGCATGTTTCTTTCATGGCAGGTTCCTTTAAGGACCCTCTCCTATTTCAGTGTTGAAGTATGTTGCATTAACACAGGTTTTTGTGTCGTGCAACACACCACAATGCAGGAAAAGTCTTTCCTGTATTTGTATGTTGGGGTGCCATTCAGAATAAATGGCATTGCAAAAACCAAATAGAGTGCTGTGTATTTCGCTGTGTAGCAAATACCTGTTGCCACTGGCCTTATGCTTATACAGTATGTGGCAGCTCTGCAGTGAGCTTTAATGCCATGCTGCTACACATGTGTGCAGCTGGTGCCCCTGCAAGCATGATCCCTTGGCACTCCCCCCACCACTGTGACTGCTTTTTCACAGTCCCCAGTCAGTGTTTACAATCTGAAATCAGTAGGGCTGGCTTCCAATCGCGTGATCCCTGATTGGAAAGTCCTGGCTCTGCCTCTGGCATGAAAGCAGATCTAAACTCATCAATTTAATGGTTTTCCAAAATAATTACATTAAATGCATTTATACTGTCAAGGCATCACATTGCTAATGTCATAACTGTTCACATGTGCAGCATCTTGGCAACTGCAGATCTAACAAAGGCTAAGATGGCAGCTCCCTTGGCTGTATATGATAGGAGGGTTTAGGTTCACTCTAAGAACCCCTTAAAGGGCAGTTGGGAATTGACTGTAAAAGGTTAACAAGATAAAGAGAAAAAAATAACAAAAAACACTAAATGAAATTAAAGTGACAGTAAAACTTTGATTTTTTTTTAATTGCAGTGGTATTGCACAAAGCAGCCCTGATCCTCCTCTTCTCTGGTCCCCTGCCGGCGCTCCTTACTCCTCCTATTTAGCAAGTGACCCCACAGAAGTGACGCCACTTTCTATGAGGGCACTCATGCGGGTTCACTCCTGAGCCTGTCTGTCTGACAGTGCGACTCAGTCCTGCCCCTCCCACTCCCTTGTCAAAGAATTTGATTGACAGCTGCAAGAGCCAATGGCTTCCGCTACTATCAATCTGCTCAATGAGGAGGGAGAGAACCGAGAGAGTGCACATCACACAATCGCTGATTGAAATCAGGCTCAGGTAGGTATAAGAGGGCAAATCACAGATACAAGGAATAGGTGCTGCAACCCTCATAGCATGTTTTCCATAAGGAGTATATATCTCACCGTTCAACTCCTGCGCTTTTCATCCAATGAAACAGTAAATCAAATCATGTAGGATCAGCAACAAGGTGAAGATGAATTGTAGAAAGTTTTATTCAGATGCAGAGTAAAAATAGTTTCAGAATGCAAGCAACACTAACGCGTTTCAGTCAAACAAGACCTTACTCATAGTATGTCACTTGTAGTGCAGCACACCATTATATAGTGGTCTATATATAGGTATAAGAGGGGGCTGGGGGGGATCCTGCAGCACAGAAGGTTTTTTATTGAATGCATAGAATGCATTAAGGTAAAAACCCTTAATGCTTTAGAACCATTTAAAAAAAAACTACCTTAAATATACCTCTTCTGGCCCAAAACCACATTTTTATAAATAAGAAAAAAATGGAAATTTTGCCTATGCAGCTAAGTACCTGTAATAAACTAATGTGCAAAACTGGTAAAATTGAAAATTTCTTCAGTAATAAATTTAGTTGAAATCGCAAAGTTATGTCTAGTTTAATCCATATTTGTCTCTTATCCTCAGTCTCTTTTCTGCATGTCTTCTCTCCATAGCTGGTATATGAATTCTTCCTCCGCTTTCTGGAGAGCCAGGATTTCCAGCCTTCACTGGCCAAGCGATATGTGGACCAGAAGTTTGTACTCATGGTGAGACTATTTTATATATTGTTTATTATGATTATTATTTAATAATTATGTTTTGTTCGTTATAATTATGATGACTCATAATAAGTATTATCTGCTAATATTTCTGATTTCTGTTTCAGTCAACTTATTAGTTTTGTACAGTAATAAACATAAAATAAACAGCAGACAAACACAGTTTTGCAGATTTACAGCATATAAACATGGCAATTGTAATGTTGCATAAGGTTCTTTACAGAACGGCCATACAGTAGTTATATCTCAGTGGTCTTTGAGAGATCTTCTTTAAGTGATCAAAGAGCTGGTGGGTGTTTGGAGCCCTGAGTGGATCTGTTAGCAGATGTAGTATTCTATATTGCAGTTGCTAGAGTTAGAAAATAGAATAAACATTCAAGAGAGTGCTTCTTATAATAAAGATAAAATCAGCTTGCATAAGGAAAAACCTCTAAATCCTTAAAAACATAAAAATCAAACAATGCAGCGCTAAATCCAATATAAATATCAATAGATTTCAAATAAAATAATAAATAGCAATAAATCTCATACAAATCAAATGCAATTTACAATCGGTGATAGTAAACAAATCAGAGCGCTACAGGTAAGCGCAATAAAGTGACAATAGTGCGTGATGTTAAATCAATCTAATGACAGTAAAAGTAAACACACAATATAAACGTATAGCAGTCCAAAGACAACTTTTCCTTATAAGTGCCTATGAGACATCCAGTGCGTAGAAATAGTGGTTAATTCTCACTGGGGTTGCATTCATAAGGTGCTTGTGACTTCTGTGAATTAAAAAGAGATATGCTTGCACTCACCACATGCACAATTTAATTGCGCATTTATATGGCACTCAGTAGGGGCACTAGCGGTCATCTAGGAACCGATATAGATGAGACACTTCTCAGGTAATCAGTACGCCTTGGGAACGGACTCCAGACCTCTCAGTGGGACCCTCTCAGTAAAATAGGACAGCTCCTTGGTTTCACTTACACCCGGCTTCCAATCAGGGCAGCAAACATGGATATCCACCTTTAAGTAGCTCCAGGAATAAGCCACCAAACAAAAAAGCTCATATGGTGTAGTAAGTTTTATTGAGCCATTGGTAGGAGTATAATAGCTAAATTCAGCATATGGAAGCCAAACGGTAAAAAAATGGTATTGCAGCTATATCCAGCTAAATTCAGCATCTAAAGCCAAAAGGTATAAAGTGGTATTGCAGCTATATCTGTCCCCCACTATATTGTACAGCGCTGAGCAAACTTTTGGCGCTATATAAACACTGTATAATAATAATAATAATAATATCATGCTCATTCAGCATGTACAAGCCCAAACATTATAAATTTTATTGCAGCTATTTTCAGCTTATTCAGCATATGGAAGCCAAAAAATAGTATTGCAGCTTTATCCATGTTTTTTAGCATACAAACGCCAAATGGTGTAGCATAGTATTGCAAGTAGTTCACCTCAATTGCAGAGATTCAGTGTAACAATTAGTCAAGCTGGCAGCCATCTTGAATACTTGTTACACTGAATCTCTGCAAATCTCTGCAGTTTGTCCAAAGACAAACTGATATATGCGAATTCAAAATCTTCTGATCCTAGGACTTCAAATGCTATAGCATACCCAAATATTCAGATCCCCAAGAGTACAGTTTTATGCCCCAAGAGAGCAGTATATCGATTTTAATCCATTTACCTATGTCTTGATACTATAAAAGAGCTGCAAAACGTACAGGGGTGTGGTTGGTGTACCCCCTTAGAATGTTCTGTGTCTATTCTGAAGGAAGAGTGTGCAATGAAGCTCTGGATAGGAGTCTTGGTGGGTTATGCTCTGAAGAGGAGAGCATAGGTGGATGCAGGTACAGACTGCCAGAATGTGTATCAGCCATTGTCTAGGCCTTGAGGCACATAAGAACAGGGTTGGTGTCTCTGAAATTACCATGCCCAGTAGCCTTGTGGGCTTTGGAACATTTGACAGTGTGGCAAGTGTAATAAGAGAGATTTAGTGCAGGGTGCAGCTGGAACTGACCTGTCTTACAGTATATGACACCTGCAAAGTGATTTATCTAGCATTATCCATCATTGCAAAGCTTCACTGTTGTAGTAAAATTGCACCATTACCACAACTGTATCCTTGTCTTCAAGAGGAGCACCGGTTACAAGGCCCAGTTGACAAGAGAGACTACTAACATCTGTACAACAGCTGTAGCAGCCCTATTATTGTAATTCCATTTATAAATTACGTCACGTCCAACAATGCCACCATTAGTCCCTCCCCGCAAGCCAGAGTACTTGGTGTCATTCTTGACTCCAATCTATCCTTCCTGCCCCAAGTCCAATCGCTAACAAACTCGTGCAGACTCCACCTCCGCAACATTGCCAAAATACACCCATTCCTAACCCAGAAACCACTAAACAACTCATCCACTCCCTCATCATATCACGACTCGATTACTGCAACTCCCTCCTCACTGGCCTCCCTCACCACAGACTATCCCCGCTTCAGTCGATCCTGAATACGGCAGCCAGACTCATCCACCTTACCAACCGCTCCGTTTCCGCCACCCCCCTCTGCCAATCCCTCCACTGGCTTCCGATTGCCCAGTGGATCAAATTCAAACTGCTAACACTGACGTACAAAGCTGTCCACCATACTGCCCCAAATTACATCACTGACCTAATATCCAAATACCACCCAAAACGCACTCTCCGCTCCTCACAAGACCTCCTTCTCTCTAGTTCCCTGGTCTCCTCTTCCCATGCCCGCCTCCAGGACTTCTCCAGGGCATCACCCATCTTCTGGAACTCCCTACCCCAATCCATCAGACTATCACCTACTCTCCTCTCCTTTAGGCGCACCCTGAAAACCCACCTCTTCAGGGAAGCCTACCCCACCCCCTGCTAATTGCTGATCTCCTCCACTCTTCCTACCACTCCATCCCCCACAGCTTTTCCTCCTGTACCACTATCCCCCCCCCTCCTAGATTGTAAGCTCCAAGGAGCAGGGCCCTCGAACCCCTCATGTATCGCATTGTATTGTTATTGTACTGTCTCATGTATTGTCTCCCATTGTAATGTACAGCGCTGAGCAAACTATTGGCGCTTTATAAATACTGTATAATAATAAATAATGTGTATCGATATATATATATTCATCAACTACCAAGCCTAGCTGCAGACTCGCTTTAGAAAGAGCAAGAAATAATTGTAGCGTGTATGCATGTGCTATGCAGATGACAGCCAGAAAACTCAAAATAACAGTCTCACTGTTCACTTAAGGTTGTTTTCCCCATGCAGAATGGCTGTCTGGTCTTGCACAGTACTATACAATAATTGCTATAAAAAAGAACAATAATTTTGCAGGTTCACAGGCCTAATTTCAGCACTGTATATTTCTCACTGACAATAAAGTCTTAAACAGGAATATGTTGTCCATGATACAGTTGAGAGTACAGATTTTGAATCAACTCTGCAGGAGTGGATAAGGGCCTGATACGTAACTCAGTATGTAGGTGAGGCCTATCAGTGTACCTGAGAAATGAGTAAACACACGTGGATACTTCAACTTTATATTGTAGAAATTGACTATTCACAGAAACAATGCAATTAACAGTAAGGCACCACATATGTTGCAGGTCATACACTTCTTCAGGCAGAAATGGGCATTGTTTATCCTCAAGGCACTTTATAAGGCCCTCTTCCATACAGGGCAGGCTTCACTAAGAGTCTGCTTGCTCAGCAGGAGATCTGTCCAATGATCCCTGCTGGGCAGGCGGATGGCTAGTCTGCTTTTGCAGAGTGGACACAGACACAGCCCGCTCTCCTCTATGGGCGGTTGGATGTAAACGGACCACCTGTCCATTTGCTTCCCACTGCCCTCCGATCCAATCTGCTAGACAGAAGGGGAACTAATTCCCATCTGTCTGTTTTTAGCAGATTGGATTGGATGTTGGAGGGTGTAAATGGACATGTGTCCATTTACACCCGCTGACATGTAATCCAATCTACCGCTCCATGGAGGAGAATGGAGGGTTCAATTGGGTCTGCCTAGAAAACAAACAGGTGGACCCAATCTATCTGTCCTTGTAAAAGGGGCCTAATAGTAGTATAGCAGCAATGCTGCTGCATACCACAGAGTGCCAGAGGAGCACTTCCTTAGGAAGGGGCTATGATATAGCTGATATAGCTTGCTCAGACTTCAATTCTCAAATGATCTTGCAGATATTGTCTGCCAGTGGGAGACTGTTGTAGTAAGCTGAAAGAGGAGACACCCTGTAAGTGGAAACCTATTATTTCCTTCCTTGACAGGTACCTTTCTCCAATGCTACTCCAAATCTCTCCCTAACCAGCGGGAGCTCTATCTCTATCTTATTCTCACACTACGGGCACACGAATGATGCAGAATTCCACTATTTATGGAATTTTTAGCCAAGATAGCTGCCAAAATTTTGCAGGACTTTGGTATCCAATAGCATTGCCATCCTGCCCAAGATGGTTGCCTTGAGCCCATAGTAGGTTAAAATGAGTCCTCAATGGGCTCCTTCCAGCCTGAAGAAACTGCACGGTGCCACCTTTAGCTTGGCTGGTATACTACATCCTCCGGCTGCCTACAAGTATAGTAGACCTTTTCAGTTGGGTAATTCACAGCTGATTTTGCTTTTAGCAGATTACTTTTCTTGCACACAAACAGTATCTTGTTAAATGGGGCTATAGCTCTGAGTTGTAAGCGACTGTGGTTTTGTTTTCTGTCACCAGTGGGTTACTAGAGTGCAACTTTGTGCACTCAGCTTGCATGTGCAGTCCCTCTGTCTTCTTGGCATCTCCTAGGTCTTCAGGACAGGAGTTGACTCTTAGGCAGCATGGCAGTATCCCTACCGTGTCCATATTTGATACCACCTTTCCCTTTGTGCTTTGACTTCCTTCTTACCCGGAGGCTCCAGAGCAAATCTCACAAGGACCTTTAAAACACCGTGCCTCCACAAACTATTGTGTACACCACTTCAGCTACCCCTAGTGACTGACAGTTTGGTTGATAAAACTCCAAATCATTCAGGTAATGTGGTCTAGTGATCATTACTTAAAACCCAATAGACCTTTAAGTTTAAGTCGGCTAAATATTATGTCTGTTAATTCCATAACTATCTATCTACATATAGAATGTTGTTATATCTCAAGTATATCAAAACAAAAGGTGTACAAAGTCTTACAGTTTGTTTTCTTTAAAATCTACTGGTGTTTAAGTAGAAAGCCTGTCTCCTGCCAGCATGCTGCAGAGTGGAAAACTTGCTCTCTGTGTGAAAGCAGTGATTCTTTTACAGTGTTCAACACATCTCTTGCTGAGTTAGAGATGGAGCTCTCCAATCGGCAGGGAGCATGAGGTTTAGAGATGAGGTAGACCTTTGCAAAAACATACTTTGCAGCTGCTGGCAGGAGTTAGGCTTTTCTACTCGGGCTGTGGCTGCTTTAGAAAGGAAACTAACTGTAAGTTTTTTTTCTTGTTCTATATTTTTATTAACAATTTCAAATGCAAAAACAGCAGACAAGCATTGTATGCAGCCTACCATGCACAATGGTCAAACAGGGTATTCACAACAATGTCTAACTCATACAGTATTTTGGGGACAGAGAGGCATAAGCCTACAGTAACCAGCTGGCAGTGATGTATAGGTTAGTCACACAAATCGAAATATCACTGAAATAGTGTGCAAAGATAAAGAAGAAAGTAGTAGAGCTGGAAAAGTAGGTAAAAGAGAAATGATAGGAAGCATTGAGGCAAAGAGTGGGATGCAGAAGGAGTGGCTGGGAGAGAAGTCACAACCTAAGCTATTGTTTCAGGTACAACCAATACAACCAATTATAGGTTCAATAGGCAATGGTCAAAATTCCTCTGCAAAAGAATGAGGAACTCTTTTTATTATGTACCTGGAACATTTTTAGCTGATTTAAACTAAGGGTTAAATTTGGTTTTAAGACTGTATTACACGTGTTCAGTCAGTTAAAAACTGCAGAATGGGGATCATTTTCAGCATACATTACACAGTGGTTATGCTGTTATTAATGCCAATGTCTGCATGTTAGAGGTTTGAGATACTGACTGTGAGGCACACTAATGTGGAAAGATGTACATCATGCAAAGAAGTCTTCTAGTCCACTGCCCAAGTCTACTGGCCTGTGTCTTTAGAGTGTGGGAAGAAACCCACCCAAGCAGAAGGAGAACATCTAAACTCCTTGAAGATTCCTGATTGGGATTTTAACTGGGGACCCCACTGCTACAAGGCAGAAATGCTAACCACTAAGCCAGCATGGTGCTTCTTATCTGGTTGTCCTTTTGTGCCAATTTCTCAGTGAGCCTCCTGCTTTCTATGGCCTTGGATTTTGAAGCCCTCTAGAGCCGAATTGTCACATATACATAAAAAGAGCACTGATTATTTTTGTTACTAGTCTCTACTATACTGTATGTGTTTAGTGAATGTGGGAAAACTTGAAGTTAGACTCAACAACACTTTCTATGCTTATGCAGCTCCTGGAACTGTTTGATAGTGAAGATCCTCGTGAGAGGGAATATTTGAAGACAATTCTGCACCGCGTATATGGAAAATTTCTGGGACTCAGAGCTTATATCAGAAAACAATGCAACAACATTTTCCTCAGGTACAGTTTACAAGAATTAGTGTTTTTTTATGGTCCGCGCTTTTGTAATGCTTGTGCTACTGATTGTAGAAAGGAATGCAATTATATTATCACTTGCCATCCAGAGGATTTACCCCCCTTCCTGACTAGGCCATTTTTTGTGTTAAGGCGATACGTTACTTTAACTGACAATTGCTTGGTCATGCAACGCTGCACCCAAATGAAATTTATGTCCTTTTTTTCCCACGACTTGAGCTTTCTTTTGGTGGTATTTGATCACCTGTACGGTTTTTATTTTTTGCACTATAAAAAAAAAATGACTGACAATTTTTAGAAAAAAAACAAGTATTTTTGACTTTTTGCTATTAAACATGTCCAGTAAAAAAATGTAAAAAATCAAATTTCATCATAACTTTATGCCAAAATGTATTCTGCTACATGTCTTTGCTAAAAAAAAATCCCAATACGTGTAAATTAATTGGTTTACATGATAGTTATAGCGTTTACAAATGGTGGTATATATACTAGGATTTTTTTTTTTCATTTTTACTAGTAATGGCAGCGATCATCGACTTTTAGAGGGACTGCGGTGGACATTCTGACACTCGGGGGAACTGACTTTGTGTCAATGACATCCCCAGTGACACCAATATAGTGATCAGTGCTAAAAAAAAAAAAAGCACTGACACTGTACTACTAACGGCACTGGGTAGGAAGAGGTTAACATGAGAGGCGATCAAAGGGTTAACTGTGTGCTGTTTCACTGTAAGCTCTGTGTGTGTACTTCACTGTAATCACACTGCTGTGGATGGCTGTGCTGTGCAGGAGCTGACAGGGAGGAGAACTGTATTGTTGCATCCACAGCAGTGTACTCGAACAGTTTAGTACACAAAACAGTCCTCCTCCCCGTCGGAGATCCTTGGAAATCACCGGGCGCCGGCAAGTAATTACCGTCCGGGGCCCGGTGATCGACAGCTGCAGCTGTGAATGGCGGCGCAGGTAGGGCATGTGTGCCCCCTACCCAGAGATGCTAAATCACATATATATCACTGTATGTAGCCAAAAACAACAAAAACAGTACAGCTGTAATGCCCGCCAAACCTGTGTCAATTGAATCAGCATGTGAATAGACTGATGCAAGACAGAAAGAATTGGCTTGTTAAGATTTAGTAGACTTCAACAAAATGTCGGCTATCTGCACAAAAACACCGACTCCCTGTAGCATGAATGTGGGGCTCTACATGTGGAGAGCAGGAGCTGAAGCCATCTTTTACTCTGCTTATTCACATTCATGCTACAAGGAGTTGGCATCTATGTGCAGAGGGCTGCCATTTTGTTGAATATTATACTGTATATTTCACTTCTTTACAAGTCATAGCAAAGTTATTGTCCATAGAATGAAATGGTACCGCTCAAATACCCCCCAAACCTGTGTCAGTTGGATCAGCATGTGAATAGACTGGTGCAATACAAACAGATTCAGGTCTTCTCGCTTCACCCAGGGCTCATTCACAAGTGTGTTGATTATACAGAATGGAGCAATGCTCATTATCGTGCCTATAGCATATATGATGTGTTTATGATGTTTTCGTTGTGTTTATGAAGTATTGAAAAAGCTTCAAGAATGCTTAATAAATGCAGATGAAAGTGTTGCTTTTCTAGTGCTGAAAAAGGAAGTGATGTACAGGAAATGATCTGCTTCGAGGTGTGGTTAAGTGTGTGATAGCAGACATTTTTGTGATTTCTCTGCAAGATGGATTTTATACTTTGATCTTTTTAACACTTGGCTTGGTCCAGCTCAACTTTGCTGAAACAGAAAGCTTTGCCCCTGGCAATAATGCTCAATGGTTCTGCTGCTACCTGGTACTGTCAGTATTGCTGGTTTGATTACCACAGGCTGCTCTGTACAAACAGGAATTGGATAGAGGTGCTCTGCCCTACTTCTCCTTTATTTCCCAGTGCATTCTGGGATACAGGAACCTCCACTGCCTCTCCCCTAGTGCCCAGCTAACATGTTATAAATGCTTCACTAACACGCCATAAATGCCATAGGTGCTGTTAAGGTGCGTTTACAGAGCATTACCATTGAAATCAATGGAGGTGGCTGATGAGCATCGCTGCCTCATGAAAGCAACATGTTACTTAAGTTTTAACACAACACAATGCTACTGCTCCTGTGTGAACTGCACTGTGTGGTGCCATTATAATATTCATGGCAGGCATTGAAGGGCTTTAAAAATGCTGAATAAATGCAACCTAAGCACAGTTTATTGAAGCATGTGTGAATGAACCCTCACTGTTCGCACAAGAAACTGAGAGCAGCGAGAGCCATAGGCTTCTGCTACTCTCAGTCAAATCCTGTGAAGAGGGAGCAGGGGTGTGGCCAAGCCAAGCTGTGTGCGTATCTATGGACCAGACCTTGCTGTTGGCCCATAGGAGACCATATTAAATCGATTGTTTCTGTGCTTCTAAAAACTCACTGAAAACACACATTTGTTAACCTTGCCTTAAACACTTGTCACAACTTGCACATAAAAGTGGACAGTGTTTATTATTTGGTTTTTACATTTGTTTTTTTTTTTTAATTTTTTATGATTAGTATTTTTGTTAATCATTTGATATCTGAGAGTTATTTTACACTATGCTGATATCATGTGTAGATCTGAATTCAGCGCAGCATTTATTTCTGTCACACTTGATATGTAGTCATATTTCTGCTCTTAACAATATCTGCATACCAGCTTGTCTCAAGTGCACCCTAAAGCATGTACGTTTTTTAACCCATGTCCTCTAAATGTATATTAGTGCTTTTTAAGAAATCCCTTATGCCAGTTCCCAACGCATACTCACTGTAGATGGGTCACTGGAAGGCTCAGGAATTTTGTGTTGGGGGGGGGGTGTTTGCTACTGGTGCACAGAAAGATTAAGATATGAATGTTAGATCTGATATTTTGGAGAAGACAACACTTTATCTGGATGCTAGCAGTGTAGGTGGATGGGACATGTGGTACTTTTTAATATTGAAATTTGTATACTATAAATCCCTGGTGCTCAACCTGCTCTCCCAGGGATGCATGTGGTCCTTGGGTCAGTAGTAGCCAGTTCTAGAGTTAGTGGTAAGGTGAGCTGGACAATTATTTTTACAGGTTATCAAAATGCAGACAAAGTTATTACTTGAACCCAATTATCCTGTATTTGGTGGCTTACCACAAAGACAGGGACCCCTTGTAATGGCTGTTAGCATTAGGCACATGAAAGTTGTATGCGATATCCATTTTGCTCAAGTCTCAGCCATTTTTGTCAAGAGAGGAGGCATAGCCCAGTGATCTTACCCTCTCCCTCCTCCTTCAATTCATGAAATTCTTAGCCTTAACTTTTAACACACTTTAAAAGAGCCTTTTATCTCAACTTAGGGACAGCAGAAACCAGCACACAGGCCTTTCTCAGAGCTTTAAACAGCTAATTGTGTTCTGGCAGGATGTCGGTTAATTTCTGCTGACCATAAAATGTCTACAGATTAACATTTTTCTCTGATCTATCATAAAACTATGACAAAATCCTTCAGTTTTGTCACCCATTGTTTGTAGGGCAATTAAAGCACTAGGGACACATAGCGTGCTATAAAATGTCTACCCAGAAAGCAGTCAGGCGTGGGGTGAGCTCTCCGAGATCTCTGCCCAATTAATAACTTAAAGCGATAATAAAGGCCTATTTTTTTTCTAAATATAACAAACATGTCTATACTTACCTGCTGTGTGCAGTTGTTTTGCACAGAGCAGCCAGGATCCTCCTCTTCTTGGGGCCCCCACAGGCTCTCCTGACCCCTCCCTCCTTTTGGATGCCCCCACAGCAAGCAGCTATGGGGGCACCCTTTGCTCCATGTGTCCATTCCCAGACCCTGCCCCCTCTCTCTTGGCTCACTGGACGTGATTGACAGCAGCGGGAGCCAATGGCTTCCAGTGCCATCTCAGTTGATGTGGAGAGGGAGTCCTGGGATAGCTGAGAATCCAGTACAAACTGCTGGATCAAGAGGGGGCTTAGGTCAGTATTGGGGGAGCTGGGAGGGCTGCTGCACAAAGAAGGCTGTTTACCTTCATTCATAAAATCAAAGAGAACCAAAACACATTAATATTAAGTATATATTTGAATGGGGAATATCATACCAAACAAATGAAGGTCATACATGACTAAGCTGGTACATACAGAGAGTGAGATAGCAGTCTCCTACCTCCTGGGTGACAGGCGCATACAAAATACACTGTTTTTGGTATCCCTGGACATGAAATATAATACTGAACTACAATCTATCAGTTTCCAGAATGCAACCTGTACATAGTGGCAGACTGTGTGATAGGGAGGGCCATGATACAGTCATAAACACGGTGACACCCCAATGGCCACTCCCCAACAGCTTAATTGGTCAGATGATCTCTGACAACACCCCCTTGATACCAGAGAAATAAAGACTGCTCCAAAAGTTGTCAGCTCTCGTATACCATCAACCAAGGAACATCTGTCAAGTTATGAGAGCCGATAACACCTTGCTCACTCGTGACTGAACTCTGCTAAAACTAAAGACTTTGAAAGTATTTCCCTTTTTCATCTCTTTGTCTTGCTATGGCTTGTTCTCTTTTAAGCTGTAATATCTTGGTGCAAATAAAATATTTTAAAAAAACAATTTTGAACTTTTCATTATTAAACCCTATTTTGAAAAGTTTTGAAATTGTACACCTGCTGTGGGCATTATAAAACATTTCCTATGTCCATGTTGGATTACGATAAAAGTACAACATGAGGTCTGGGGACAACTAAAGGTGGTCAGGAACATCTGAAACAAGGAGGTGAGAACAGAGCTAGGAACTATGGTATGAAGATCACACCACTGGAGTGCTCAAGAGCTATAACAGGCAAGTGGGTGACTATAATGGAAATATTATTTTTGGATGAATGGTCCATTTCAACCAACCAAAAATATCTAATACAGCTTGTTTTGTATAGGAACCTGGATTTATCAGAAGTACCTCCACGTATTGAGAAGCACGGTTTTTGACTTATTGTTTTTATTTCTTTTTGCAGATTTATCTATGAAACAGAACGGTTTAATGGTGTAGCAGAGCTTCTGGAGATCCTTGGCAGGTAAATGTCTTAGGAGGCTCACAGACCTATGGGTACAGTCAGATGCTCAGCCTGCATAATCAGATAGTGGGTCAACAAATAGAAACATTCCTGTATGTGTGAGGGGACGGGAAGGAGATGCTGACAGAGCATCAGACATGACTTATATCAGGTATGGAAATTAGCTCAAGGGTAGCACTTCCAAGGATGCACTCCACTTGTTACATCCTTTTACATGGGGACCTTTCTTACTCACTTTTATTAAAACATTGTTCCAAAACACATGGGTTACACAAGCAGGGGTTATTCAGCGCTCCAATTCCACTGTCACAAAACACAAATATTCATTAGCATCCTAGCTATCACTCACAAAAGTGCTGCTCTGATCTCAGTCCTCAGGTTCTTGTCTTTATCCTCCAGACAGTGTTTCCACACAATCTCTGTGCTCACACTCTGTATACCCCAAAGCTCCCTGCTGCACTGGCCAACACCCCAACATGTGGGCACAGATTTCCTTTCACCCTCAGGTGGAGCCCTGAACTGTTGCCAAAACATAACCTAATAGATCTTTGCTAACTTGCACAATGAGCAGGCAGGTTGCTAGCAATGCATGGACCCTGAATTGGAAACATCATCCCTCCGAAGTCGCTATGTAGCCTCAGGGCTACAGGACCCATTACGGGTTTATCAGTTTCTGAAGAAACTGAAGATCCAATTTCCTCCATAAGATATACGCACCTCAGAAACCCTTGACCCGTCTGGGTAAGAACCCTGGATGACACAACATTTTTTACTACCTCTTAGATTGTAGGCTCTAACAAGCAGGTCCCTCTGTTTCCTCTTGTACCAAATTGTATTGTAACTGTAATGTCTAGCTTCATTTTGTAAACCGCTGCGCAAACTGTTGGCGCTATATAAATCCTGTATAATAATACCATGACTGAGCTCTGCACTCACAGGTTAAAATAATAGTTTAGGCTCATTTTCTAACCGGCCTGACCACTGTTCCCTCAACAATATGAGATTGGGAGCTCTTCATTGGGAAAGGGACCACCGGCCTCTGAAACATTGCATTTCTGTATATATCTGCAACTTCATCAAAGTGGGTTTATTTGTAATTGCAATTTTGAAGCATTATTGTTTCCTTATGTTGGTCCAGATTCCTACACATCAATTTGAAACTCTGCTCAACAGTTAAGAGAAATATTTAAATATAGTAATTGCATCTAAAGGTGGTTAAGTAGTCGATTTTCTGTCATGAGGCAGTTGCTCCTTTACACCCATGATGACGATGTTATTACCTTCCACACCAAGGAAATTGAGTAAGAATTATACTGTGTGATTTTTCTCAGACAGACTGCTATTACATATTCTCTGAAAAGTCCCTAATCTAGTTTATTGTTCTGAAGCCTCAAACATTTGATAAAACTGAATTTCACAACACTATCATTAAATTCTGTTTTGGAAAGAGAAGCACTTCATGAGTGTGTTATAAACAGATATTCTGAAGCAGTTTCTTCTGAAATGTACTAATCTACTGCCAGCATCTTAGATGTCAACAGATGCCCATTATTAGTGCCATATCTCCCTTTTAGGCATCTTTTCATTCATCATAGTTTGGCAGCAGATTTACAGTTGTCAAAGTTGCTACCATTTTGGGTACAGAAGAAAGTTCTAACTTCCTGTAGTGGCTCTGTCTGAAAGGTCAACTAGTCTTTTTCCCTTTAAACTTGAAAAACAGGAATAGACAACTGCCAGTAAATTATGAATTCATCCAAATGGTTGCTCGCCATTGGGAATGCAGTTGGGTGTCAGACTGTTGGCTAGAACAATTGTTGCTGGCTCATCCTGTTGACATTTCTGCTTACACTCCCTATTTTTTTGTTATCTCTGTTGCACTGTTATTGTCATGCTGCTCTCTGGTTCCCACTGCTAGGTCCTTCCTAATGCATGACATTCTAGATACCTCTTCAATGTCTACATGCGCTAACAAGCTTTCCTGTTCATGTGGAAGAGCGTGACAAAGCATGCACATGTGTTCCTGGTTCTCAGTATGCAAACTGATGTATCGACTCCGTTTTTAATAGGTTGTTAGTTCTTGAGTATGCTTTTATTCATGCTACATATTGACATTTTTGTGGTCTCTTGTCCTTATCTTACTTGAACTCCACCCACCTTAACCCCTGTGATGTGTCTTGACTATTTGTTTTCTCTGGTTTTGGCAATTGGCCCTGTTTACACTCACCCTATCCTTGTACCCCAGTCCTCCCACTATCTCCATCTAGTTGGATACAACCCTTGATCTTACACTGATCATGAACTTGCCTATTGACTAGTACCTGCCTTAGTCTGTCTTGCTGCTTAGTGCCACCAGCAAGGCAATCTTAGGGACTGCACTCTGAGAGTGTTCACAGCACATGTTCAAAAAGACTTTGGTGCTGACTGGGTACTGCCAGACCGTACATGTTGGCAAGAGCCTATTTTTCTGCTGAAGGTTCTGAATATCATTGATCATTCCTGATACTTTAGGTGGATCCTGAGTGTGCAGCACACAACACAAATACATATAAACAATAATATGGTGCGGTGTTACATATAAACATAAGTATATATAAATAAATAATAATAACTCTCTAAATAAATATAATTGAAAATATAAATGAAAATATAAATGAACCAGTGATATGATCCTCACAGGATCTAAAAATGACGTGATAAAAGTGAAAAAATGTGAATCCAACCAGTAGGTCCTATGCTTGGACCCAAAAAGTGAAATAGTATATACAAGTGATAAGTAAAACGCATACAATCAACCCAATCCCTAACACGGGATGAAATACATACAAGAAGTGTGTACACAGTGAATCCCAAATGCGGGATATAAATGCAACAATGTGATAAAGCGCTTAATATGTATACACCTATCTCTATATACAGTGAATCCTAAATGCGGGATAATGATATAACGGCGTGACAAAGTGTTTAAAAACAATAAGCATATAATAAAACACAATCAATATATTCGTGAAAGCAATTATAAAGTCCAATAAAGTGCATAAATGCAACTAAAGTGCTTCACTGCTCCAGGGCATGCAACATGTGCAGTGTATGTGCACACCACACCGATTTATTATCCTTCAATGGCTCTAATGGCCCCTCACCTCAAGCAAGCGACCCCAAAGGACAAATGCGCCTTTTGGATCACACCTGGATCCTTCCTGATATGCACTCCTTGCTATCAGATCTCCAAGGACTTTATCCACAATGGCACCACACAGCAACACAGGTCTCCCTTCCACTGGATAGGTAGGTAGATACCCTCAAAATTGCCAACTTACTTTCATGTAGGTCGTGAAACAAGAAAAAAGATCCTCCATAGTGCAATAGCTTTTTATTCCATGTTAAATAGATCAAAAACTCACTCACCTTTAGATGGTATTACATAGGCTTTCACACCACATGTAATGGGTGTATTTGCATGAACCAAGGTGTACCAAGATGGTGTTCCGCTGGATGTATGTCACCACTTGTTGACGCGTTGTATCATGTATACAGGTGACTTCCTCAGGACCTTCCTGAGTCCAGAGGAAGTCACGTGTATACGTGACGCAACGCATCGACACGTGGTGACGTACATCCAGCGGAACACCATCTTGGTACACCTTGGTTCATGCAAATACACCCATTACATGTGGTGTGAAAGCCTATGTAATACCATCTAAATGTAAGTGAGTTTTTGTAGTTTTGTATCTATTTAACATGGAATAAAAAGCTATTGCACTATGGAGGATCTTTTTTCTTGTTTCATGAGCTACATGAAAGTAAGTTGGCAATTTTGAGGGTATCTACCTACCTATCCAGTGGAAGGGAGACCTGTGTTGCTATGTGGTGCCATTGTGGATAAAGTCCCTGGAGTTCTGATAGCAAGGAGTGCATATCAGGAAGGATCCAGGTGTGATCCAAAAGGTGCATTGGCCCTTTGGGGTCGCTTGCTTGAGCTGAGGGGCCATTACAGCCATTGAAGGATAATAAATCAGTGTGGTGTGCACATACACTGCACGTTTTGCATGCCCTGGAGCAGTGAAGCACTTTAGTTGCATGTATGCAGTTTATTGGACTTTTTTTTATTGTTTTTCACGAATTGATATATTGATTGTGTTTTATTATATGCTTATTGTTTTTAAACACTTTGTCACGCCGTTATATCATTATCCCGCATTTGGGATTCACTGTATATACAGATAGGTGTATACATATTAAGCACTTTTCACATTGTTGCATTTATATCCCGCATTTGAGATTCACTGTGCACACACTTCTTGTATGTATTTCATCCTGTGTTAGGGATTGGATTGATTGTATGCATTTTACTTATCACTTGTATATACTATTTCATTTTTTGGGTCAAGCATAGGACCTACTGGTTGGATTCACATTTTTTCACTTTTATCACGTCATTTTTAGATCCTGTGAGGATCATATCTCTGGTTCATTTATATTTTCATTTATTTTTTCACTTATATTTATTTACAGTGTTATTATTATTTATTTATATATACTTATGTTTATATGTAGCGCTGCACCATATTTTTGTTTATTTGCTATCACACCTAGAGGTATAGGATTGAGGTGCTAGCGGCTTTCTATTTTTTAGGGACATATTAAGCACAGGGGGAACATTACCTTGTTTTACAACACAAATACATATTACTTTCTATTACTTTTGGACATTAAATTATGGTCATGTCTTTACACAGTCTGAGGTTGATATGCTTTTCCTTCCACAGTATCATCAATGGCTTTGCTTTACCTCTGAAATCAGAACACAAACAGTTTCTTGTCCGTGTATTGATACCACTGCACTCAGCAAAATCACTTTCTATATTTCACGCCCAGGTAAGAGATGTCATCTGACCACACTGCCATATGTGGGGATGGGATACAAAAATGTTAACATGGGGGTATTGGGAAAATAGAACGTGTTATTTCCTAGGTGGTTTTTAGTTGCCCATTTGACCAAAATGCTGTCCTATACAGTTATGTATGGGTGGAATTTTTGTAATGGATCAGTTAGATCTTGACTGTAGCATATATACAGTAGACAAATTTAAATAATGCATTGTGTCTTGCTTCCTAATTCCATGTAATAAATGTTTAATCTCTGTTCCATAACATGTCTCCAGTGCCCAGACAGAGAGGCAGCTGGTTAGTATGTACAGTATACTGTATGTGATGATGAGTTTGTATAGGCCAGCTGCCCAGCAAGCTAACCCTGCTAGAATTCCAAATTCTTATGATTATCCCACTTTACTATCTTCTCTTGTACATCAACACATATATTTTTGTTCATTTTTTAATATATTATGTTAAAGAGGATCTATAGTCTTTGTAAGCTTTTGGCATATACTGTATATAGATACATAGATAGAGATACATGTTTTGTATATACAGTCATGGGCGAAATTGTTGGCACCCTTGATATACGTTTTTCCTGAAAATCAAGTCGCCATTTTTGCTGTCATCACCAAAGCAGTATTGCATTAACACATGTATTGCAATACAGTTCACATGTTTATTCCTGCATTTGTATGTATTGGAACAAATATAAAACAGAGGCAGAAAAGCAAATATGACATAATGTCACACAAAACCCCAAAAATGGCTGGACAAAAGTATTGGCACCCTTAACTTTCTAACATTTTTGGTTGCACACCTTTGGAAAACATAACTGAAATCAGTCGCTTCCTATTAACCATCAATAAGCTTCTGACACCTCTCACCCGGAATTTTGGACCACTCTTCCTTTGCAAACAGCTCCAGGTCTCTTTATTGGAAGGCTTACACTTTGTAGCACAGCAATTTTAAGATCTCTCCACAGGTGTTCAATGGGATTTAGATCTGGGCTCATTGCTGGCCACTTCAGAACTCTCCAGCGCTTCTTTGCCATCCATTTCTGAGTGCTTTTTGACGTATGTTTGGGGTCATTGTCCTGCTGGAAGACCCAGGATCTTGGACGCAAACCCAGCTTTCTGACACTGGGCCCTACAGTGCGACCCAAAATCCTTTGGTAATCCTCAGATTTCATGATGCCTTGCACACAGTCAAGGCACCCAGTGCCAGAGGCAGCAAAACAACCCCAAAACATCATTGAACCTCCACCATATTTTACCGTAGGTACTGTGTTTTGTTCTTTGTAGGCCTCATTCCGTTTTCGGTAAACAGTAGAATGATGTGCTTTACCGAAAAGCTCTATCTTGGTCTCATCTGTCCACAAGACGTTTTCCCAGAAGGCTTTTGGCTTACTCAAGTACATTTGGCAAACTGTAGTCTTGCTTTTTTATGTCTCTGTGTCAGCAGTGGGGTCCTCCTGGGTCTCCTGCCATAGCGTTTCATTTCATTTAAATGTCGACGGATAGTTCGCGCTGACACTGATGCTCCCTGAGCCTGCAGGACAGCTTGAATGTCTTTGGAACATGTTTGGGGCTGCTTATCCACCATCCGGACTATTCTGCGTTGCAATCTTTCATCAATTTTCCTCATCCGTCCACGACCAGGGAGATTAGCTACAGTGCCATGGGTTGCAAACTTCTTGATAATGTTGCGCACTGTGGACAAAGGCAAATCTAGTTCTCTGGAGATGGACTTGTAACCTTGAGATTGTTGATATTTTGCCACAATTTTGGTTCTCAGGTCCTCAGACAGTTCTCGTCTCCTCTTTCTGTTGTCCATGCTTAGTGTGGCACAGACAGACACACAATGCAAAGGTTAAGTGAACGTCTCTCCTTTTTATCTGCTTTCAGGTGTGATTTCTATATTGCCCACACCTGTTACTTGCCCCAGGTGAGTTTACAGGAGCATCACATGCTTGTAACATTCTTATTATCCGCAGTTGTGAAAGGGTGCCAATACTTTTGTCCAGCCCATTTTTGGAGGTTTGTGTGACATTATGTCGAATTTGCTTTCTTTCCTCCCTTTTTTTGTTTTGTCCCAATACACACAAAGGGAATAAACATGTGTATAGCAAAACATGTGTTAATGCAATACGTTTCGTGAGAAATACATGATTTTCAGGAAAAATATCAAGGGTGCCAACAATTTCGGCCATGACTGTATGCAATGCTGCTACAGGGCAGCACGGGTGCACAAAATCATGTGTGTTTATATACGTGATTTTGCAGTTCCGGGTAGAGGGCATGTGCACCATACCCGCATCGCCATTTGCGGCCTCTGCTGTCAATCACCAGGTCCCAGGCAGTGATCGCCGAGTATTACCGACGGGGGAGAGAACTGTATGTAGACAATACAGTTCTCTGCCCTGTCAGCTCCTGCATACTGCTTTGTATGGCTGTGCATAGCATAATTTATTTTTATTATTTCTATCCGTTTCAACCACATATATATGATTGTACAGTGTTCCGGGGCCATGGAAATATGGCGCCGGTTAACAAATTGCACAACCCCTTTATTAGCACATTTCTAACACCTTTTTGGTCTGGTCCCACCAATTAAGTACTGTCTATTATTTATGGTTTAGTACAGTATCCGATATTGTTTATCGGGACTAAAAGTGTAATTACTTTGGGACTGACCACAATATCATGGCGGCCGCCCGGACCTCCATTAAAATGACGACCGCCAATAATTGAGTCTAGTGAGTACAACATACTAGGATTGCTAAGTTGTTAAACCTTTTTGGACTGGTTCCTTTAGCCAAGTGCTTAGTGGATCATGAGGTGTAGCACGGCATTTGAAACAATATGCTCGGATCCCAATGTGTATAGCCATGACATCATAGCCGCCGCCTAGACTACAACAAAATGGTGACCACTAGTATCAGCATCCTAGTACATAACACCATAGAACTGACTACAACAAAATGGCGGCCATCGGGACCACAACAAAATGGTGACCGCCAATCAATATCGATTGATACCAGGATTTTGTGGGGTATATATGGCCATTCAGTGGGGCGCTTTAGCTCCGCTCCTGAAAACGTCATGTGATGAAACGCGTAGGGAAGGGTTTGATAGCACCACATGTGTTCCTATGAGGGAGTACAGAGGAGTTGCAGTGTCTTAGGATATTTTAAAGCGCCATACATATGCTTACATGTAAGTGCACATTTAAGTGTTTTATATCCAATAAAAACAGTATTATGGAATGGAAGCTTTCCTCTGATTGCTTTTTAAGGTGGTTGAGTTATGTGGATGGTCTGGAGAGCTTTTCATTTATGGAGTCCAAAACCAGTGGATAGAGGCTTCAGAAGTATAGAGGAAGCTGATCGGTTTTGGGGCACATTGTATCACATTGAATGTTAATGTGGAAAGTGTTTTACACTGGGACTTCATGTATTGCATACAAGTGCACTGTATATACATTTTTTAATATTTAATGTTATTTAATCTTTCATTGTGATTGGCTCATATTGGGAGGATTGATGTCCATGGTTGTTTAAAATTTGCACATATTTTAGCATTGTATTTCATATATGCACGGCTATATAGACATGCACAAACGTCCCCCTATCCATAGGAATGAATCGAGTCCCTGGGGAGGAGGGGTGGATATAAGGCACATTATGGTTTATATATGGTATTAGGCACATATTGATTTATCTATTTACTTTGTCCGTTCATTTGTGGGACACAATCACGATTGAAGAGTGGCACAGGCAGCACTAGTATTTATAGAATCACAAGTGGCAGCGCAGCATATATAATATACATTTAAATGTTTGTTCACGTTTAAAAACCTTGTCTATGTAAACATCCTTACAACCATGCTGTACAATGACTCACTAACCTGCTTTGTGGCTCTGTGTAATGTAAGTGTAAGGCTAAGTTCACACTAGCTTTGTTAGCAGGCGTTAGACAGTCATTTGGGAAACATTTTTAATGCTCCTCAAATGCCTATGAAAATTCTACACATGGCAGCACAGATTGCTGTTCCCACTGAAGAGTTAGTGTCATGTCATTGAAAAATTGACGCCTCATGTTCAGTCAGGAGGAGTTGAAGCCTCCTATTCAAGTCTATGGTGATGCTCCTCAAACGCCTGGCAGGCATTTGTGAGGCGTTTGCAGAACGTTAATACTATTAAACTTTATTATAGGCGTTTGTGGTGCGGTTTTAACACTTAGAATATGTCTCAAAGGCGTGCATAGTGCATTTGGGGAGTGTTAAAAATGCTTCCCAAGACATGTATCCATTTGAACAGCTTTTTAGTACGGACATAATGCGAAGGCATGTGCCCTCTCGCATATATAAGATTCCTACTGCTATGTCTAGAACTGTCTTTCCATCGTTCTTAGAAAAGTGGGAAAAGGAATTAGGAACAAAATTAAATGATCAAGAAAAAAAGAGAATATGTAATTTAATACATGGCACAGTGGATATGAACACAATAGAGATTAATTATAAATATTTAGTTAGGTGGTACGTTACACCTAGTGTGGCACATAATCAATGAATAGAGAACTTAGCTTTATGTTGGAGGGGATGTGGAAAGATAGGAAACAATGGCACACATATGGTGGGATTGCCCTAAAATACAGCAATGTTGGCAGGGAATAATACAACAAATACGGGAAATAACGGGGATTAGTGTACCGAAGGAACCCTGGGTCTGTTTATTTCATAATAGTGATATCACGGTGAAACTATTTAGGAGCTCAATGATTTTTCACTTAATTAATGCAGCAAAAAGACTGATTCCTAGGTTCTGGCAGGCCCTTGAAGCCCCCAAAATCATGGACTAGATAAATAGAATAGAGTTTTATATATAGGATGGAGGAGTTGTACCATATTGGAGAGGATAAAATTGAAGAATTTAAGAATATTTGGGACAGATAGACGGTCTTTAAAACATCTAGGAGATATTCAGAATTGACTAAGGGGCAAGACAGGGTTCAGACAGGATAAGAAAGATAGTCTCTGGTTAGTTCTTTTTTATAGGAAAAAAGGAGAGTGGAGGGAGACAATAAGAGGTTAAGAATAGAATATTGGAATAGGAAGAAATTAAGAGGTGACCAAAGCCCCCATTTGAACGGGGTGAGGTGGGAGGGAGGGGATGGGTATCTGTTTAAAAAAAAGAAATCTGCATGATTTAATATATGGAAAATTGTTGTATTTATATTGATGATGAAAATGTATAAAAATAAAGTTAAAAAAAACATAAAAAGCTTCCCAAACACCTGTCTAACACCTGTCAAATGCTATAGGGGCATTTGGCAAGAGTTAGAAATTAGTCAAGTGTGAAAGAGACATCTATGTGTAATACACACCAACTATGCAGAAAAGTGAAGACTGAAAGAAGTGGGCTTGAGCGAAGAGAGGTAGTGACAGAGGAATTGAGAACTCTCCAGCTCTTGCTGGTGCTTACTAGTCCGCAGCACCGTTCTGTACAGGCAAGTTGCTCACCTGCATACAGTGATGTTGTGGAATAGTAAATTTCAGCAAGGACAGGGGAGTTCTCAGCTACTGCCGACAGATTACAGAAGAAAGAAGCAGAACATTTGGAATGCAAGGACACAGATTGACTGGGTATATGATTAGTTACACTCAAACATTTTTTTGCCTGGAGTGGGGTTTTAAAAGACAGTAATGTAGGCTATGTTTGGGCACATTTATTATATACCAAATGATTTGTAACTTAAGCCAGCCAGTCTTGTGATAAATACTGCTCTGCTGTTTCCTGGTTAATTAATGACATTTAGGTCAGCTTCCTGTTCACTAGACAGAAGTGATTACATTGATTCACTGGTCAGGGAGAATGCAGAAGGCAGAGAGATGATGTAGGAAGCTGAATCGCTGCCTGTTGTGAAGAGAATATTGGGTACTGGTTATAGGGAGCACATGACTGACCCTCCTTCCTTCCACAATGCAGCACTGGGTACCTGAGTGGCACCCACACTGTAATTATCCTATATATAAACTCCCACCAGAGTGGATTTGAACTTATATGAATTGCTTCTAAGGGCAAATGGAGCTTTGGTGTGTGCGATTTTGGGTGGGGCAAGGGGAGCAGCAGTTAAGTGAATTATTTACTTTGCCCTGCATCCACATATCTATATTTGAAATACGATTGTGAAAATGTACCATGATAGGCTCAAGTGACTTACAATCATTATTTTCACCAAAGTAACTGTTACTTTCTACTCTCATTGGTTGTTCAGAATAAAGGTTATTACGGCAAAAACGAACCTTATAGTTTAGAAGTATGAGCCTAGTAAACAAGTAAATGTAAAAGTAACATTAAATATATAATTTAGATTGCACACTAATATCTTAAAATATATTCTCACTGAAAACACTTGTAATCACCCTGTAAAGATGCCCGTCAAGGCAGGCACATATTTATATCTTGTTTTGTTGTTGGGAGACACCCCTATTGGGCTGATTACAGAAGTATATGTGAAAGATGTAAAATGTATATTATGTTTTTGTCAGTGTAGTAAATAGCTTAACTCATACTTATTTTCTTCCACACTGCATAATAAAATGTGTCTTAATGTTAATTGGTTTTTCAATAGAGTAAATTACTAACCCGTATGCTCCCAGCAAGCGCTTAAAATGGTAATTTTGTCCCCTGCAGCTGGCTTATTGTGCAGTTCAGTTCCTGGAGAAAGACTCCTCACTAACAGAGCATGTAAGTATAGCATCGTTTCCATGAGTGCATGAGGTATACGGTGCTTTTTCTCTGCAGGACAAGTATTATTTTATTACAGATATATTTATTTCATCTTTTGGATTTTATTTAATAAAATAAATATTGAGATAGGGTTATGTCATTTCTAGCCTTTGCTATTTGCACAATTATGTAATTTAAAATGTGTTTTAAAGGATTATAACCTATAGAACAGCCTTTCTCAAGCTTTTCAATATAGTGGGACCCTTGAAATAACTTTCCGGTTTCAGGGAATTCCTGCTAAAAATTCATGATACATCAGTGTTATGATTAGGAAGAATGTTCATTACACTATTGGTCATTGAGAAGAATTACCCTTTTACAGATAGCTAGAAAGCTCAATGGTGTCATTGGGAACATATCTGAGAGACAGAAATTGCTCACTCCTCAAGGAACCCCTAGCAACCTCTACAGGAACCCTGGTTAAGAAACCCTGATATAAAATATGTGTGTATATCTCTTTGAAACTGTAGATTCTGGTTCTGGTACCTAGACTCTAGTGCAGGGGGGTTATTTTTGTGGCTCAGAGGATCCTGGTGCAGCAGAGGTAAATAAGCATATCAGTGAATAAAACTGAAGTTTAGGTATGGCAATTTATACATAATTACAGTATTTCAGTTTCGACCAATGGACCATGCTTCTTTAGGATCCCTGTGTAAGTAGCTCCACTACTACAGTAATTGTCATTAGCTTCCAGGTCCCTTTCCGAGCAGCTTCCCTGCTGCTTAGTGAAACACACACTCTGCTTGGCCACCATTCAGAGAACACTTTGCATGTTCTCAATGAATGCAAAGCGTTGTCTGATTGGAGGAGGTAGAGACGGTGACTTCACTTGCCCTTCTCTCCACCTCATCCAATCAGAGGTTTGCTTTGCATTCTTTGAGCAAAATGCAAAGTGTTCTCTAAATGGTACCTGTGCTGAGCCTACTGTGTTCAGAATACAGCAGGACAGCTGCTCACTATGGCACCTGTCAGCTAGTGGAGACCATTGCAGTAATGCCTACTGGATTTCCACAGGTATGGCCCAAACATACTTACATTGGTCCAAGCTGGACCTATGTAAATATTGCAATACCTAAGCTTCAGCCATAAGTTTACATTAAGTGTTAGTGTTAAGGTTACTATTAGGGAGGGTAAGTGTTAGGGGTGCAGTAAGGGTTGGTGAGAAGTTTTGTATTAGAGGTACAAAGAGGGATAGTGTGAGTGTTATTGTTAGGGTTACATGGAGGATTAGGGTAAAATTTAAAGGGAAAGCTATATTTAGGGTTACAGTGAGGATTAGGTATGGGGTCACAGGAAAAGTTAGTGTTAGGGTAACAGTGAGGGTTTGTATGAGTGTTGGTGGGGTTAATGTGATTGGGGGCCTCTCTACTGATAATGCTAACACCACTCTCTCAGTGGTGAAAGATGTTGTATCAGTACGTCCAGTACATCAGAATTATCCTCATTTGATGTACCTGCTGCCTGAATTCCTTCCTCTCTTCATCCTCTGTGATTTTAAAAGTTAAATCATTTTAATGGAAATCTGTAAAAGCAATGGTAGGTCTCTGTCAAAATCTCTTCCCCTTCCTACATGGTGAAGCATCTGTTCAAATTGCAGTGTGTACTGTTCACTTTTAGCTTCTCATTAAATTCAAGCAATGACATTTCTGAAGCTGTCATTGTACAGCTCACATCAGATGTTGCAAGTACTGCTTCATTCTGCAGTAAGAGAAGTCAATTTACTGTTAAATAAGTTCATATGATTGTAATAAATGTCTTTCACACAACAGAGCAGATAAGGACAGGAAGATAATAGTGAGGGGGCACATGCCCCTTAGACAGCAGCACCCCCCATCATTTCATGTCTTCTGGTTCCTGGAACCGACTATACCACTACATCACTGTGTAAAGATTGTATTATTCTGATATTGTGCGTAAAAAATATAAAAACAAGATGAAAGGTCAGGGAAGAGCTCAGTGCAGCAGATCTCTGTTCCTGGTGTTATTGTCAATGGAGAAGAATACAAAGAGCCTAGAAAAAGATTCATTTTTTCACTAGGGGAAAGTGGAAGGACGACGTAGCATAATAATAATTTGCAAGGGTACCACAAATCCAAAAGCTAGCCCTGCCTTTATCCTCCTGTCAGCTTGTCTTGCTCTTTCTCTTACCCATCACTTCTGTGAACCTTTTTAACACCATCATGTCCTACATTGGGTGTTTGTACGAATATCAGAAGGACACAATGTAGCACTACCCCCATAGGGGCCGTTTGTAATAATAACTATTTTTCTCCCTAAAAGTCTAGAAGCTTCTTGTCCCTTCAAGCACCAGTCTAGTCACACTGGCTTCAATAACAGTCTAGGGGAAGTTTTATAAAGATTTATTGCTTAAAGAAACTTTAACAGGAGAGGGGTTAGGGCATGGGATACTCCAAAATGATTAGCGCATAGCAATTAGAAGACCATCTTCTCATTAAGTAAGCATGAATGTTGAAAAGTCTAAAACCCCATGGCTGAAGACCCTGAGGTAACTTTCTGAAAAGGCTAAGACCTCATAGCTGACAACCATCAGGCAAGTTTCTTTGGCATTTGGTTACCTTAAGTTTATGCAAAACTACTGGTAGCCAATGCAATTCCAGAACACTGCATGGTGCTTTAGGGTCTTTACTTACAAGTCCTCAGGACTGCTGCCACCTTCTAGCTTCCTCCAAACCCAGTCCAGTGAGTGAGACAGTCCTTCCTCAGACCAGATCCATTGTGGTGAGGTCCTACAATCAGCTTCTATGAAAATCCATCCAGGACTTCAGCTCTGACACCACTGAGGCCTCTAGATTAGCTGCCTCAGGACAGCAGCCCTCTCAAGCTCTAGAACCCTCCTGAGGAGAAAGAACCCAGCTCGTTAGTGCCTCAGACTATTTATCACCTTTCCAATCCCCTTCTGGACACTTCTTTCCAGGGAATGGCTGGAGCATGATAATATTCAGGCTGGTTATTTGAATCTTCCACCCAAAGCTCTGGAAGCTTCTTCCAGAGGCAGGGGGAAGCAATCAAACTCTCTGCTCTTTTGATTACAGGAGCCAAACACTAAATTTATCTAGCATCCTATGCTAGGAGGAATGCTGGGGGGGTGTTACAAAATTAAATACTAAATATAAATGTACAAACAAATTAAACAAAGGGTGCAAACACCTATCCAGAGCACATAATTATATGATTTAAAATTATAATATATACTCACAAAGGGAATATAAATGACAAGGTTGTAAATTGTCCAGAAACCCAAATGGCCTTTGAACTCCTCTGGTTCAAATGGATGTCCTACAACCTCTAACGCGTTTCAGGGGACCTGCACCCTTCTTCAGAGCAAGGCACTTGCTCGTTTCAGTTGTATGGGGAAAAATTACATTCTGTAAATTAGTTCTCAAAATTTTGTTATTGAGAAGTGAGAAGAAAGAATGTGGGATTGAGAAGTAAGAGAAATGTATTGGGTCACGGCCGCACTTTTGCAAACTCTATACAAGGCTATGCCAAGAAATATGGGTGTGTTTCAGGGCTCTGTCCTCAGCAGAGGTGTTAGGAGACCTGGCACCCCTGCCAGTACCTTGCATGGCCGCAGAAGTTCACATCGGCTCAAATTTGGCTCCAAACGGCCTTTATAAGGAAGCCCTGCCCTACTCTCAGGTGCTGGTTGATCTCTGGCTTCCCAGTACCTTGGTCCTGTTCCTGTGCTATTGTGATCTGTGATTTCCTGATACCGACTCGGCTTGCTCTTGGACCTGTCTTCTCTGCTTAACCCCTGATCTGACCTCGGCTTGGCTAACGGATATTCCCTCTTGCTCTGTATGACCTCGGCTATCCCATCTGACTACGTCTGCTCTGATTTCCATCTGTTTCCCGGAAGGCTTGCATACCCCACACAGGCACCATCCGTCTGCAGATCCCATCTCAGTGTATCAGCTGTGCTCCTGGGTGGACCACCAACGAGCATTCCTACAGGCGACCTGTGCCACTTTGAGCCTGACTCCTGCTATCCCACTCTCAGGGGAGTCTGGAACTTAGCCGCAAGGGAAGCCCTCTCTCCACTGGCCTCTAACGCCTGGTACGTGATAGTATCAACCAGCCAATATGTCTGAGGCCGCACTAGAGGCCCTATGCCAACAGATGACGGCCCTCACGCAAGCAGTTAAAGATCTGCAGGAAGGATACTTCCAGCTGGAAGGACACCTTCATTCGCTTACTACTTCTGCGACTTCTACAGACCAGAGTCCGTTGGTTAGTCTGAGCCCAATAGTCGCACCAGCCAGTCCGCCTCCTACCACTACACCTGTTGTGGTACTACCGCCTCCAAAGCCCAGGGTCCCCATCCCTGAATGCTTCCTAGGGGACCAACGCAAATTCCGAGCCTTTAAAAATGCATGTGAGCTGTATTTCGCATTGCAACCAAGGACCTTCTCACTAGAGGCAGTTAAAGTGGGGTTCATCATTTCTCTTCTGTCTGATGAACCTCAATCATGGGCACACAGCCTACTAGAACAAAAGAACCCCGCACTCAACAACGTGATCACATTTTTTTAAGCCATGGCGATTCTCTATGATGATCCCCAGAGGACCGCTACTGCTGAGTCCGCCCTCCATGCTTTACAACAAGGCCGACAGCCTGTGGAGGACTACATTGTGGAATTCTGCAAATGGTCTGCTGACACCGGGTGGAACAATGCAGCAATAAAATACCAGTTCCATCTGGGCCTGTCTGAATCCCTTAAGGACGAACTAGTTAGGGTGGAAACTCCCTCCTCCCTGGAGGGCCTGATCCAGCTCGCTACCCAATTAGATCGACGGCTACGGGAAAGACGTTCCGAACCTACCCAGTCCTTTCACCGTACGGGGGTTCTGCCAAAGTTTCCAAGACCAATGGCTCATGTCCCTATTCCTCCACCCATCGGCACCTCGGAAGTAGAACCCATGCAAATCGGCCTTCT